TGCTCTCCTGAACGATTCTTCCATTTCATTGCCCCTCGATCGTCCACCCGCTTCCTCCCTTTCCCCCTCCTTAATTCTGCTTCTGTTTTACCCAAAGTGGAAGCAATCAAGAAGGAAGCCACATGTTCCCACCACTTCTACCCACCCATCTGCAGCTGCCCTTAAGCGCCACTTCCTTACCTCCCACCAGCCTTTCCATTTGTTCTCCAGGTCCCCGCCAGCAACTGTCCCCCATCCCATCTTTATTAATTCGTTCCCTCTCTGGTGGATCCTTCCCATTAGCTTGCAAATATGCAATGATAATTCCCCCTTTAGAAAAATAACTCTCCCAGGAGCTGACTTCCGCCCACCGCCACCATCCGATTTCTCTGTTCCTCTTTACAGAGAGGGAGAAAAAAAAAAAACCCTTTAAATAGTCATCTGTACTCACTGTTCCCATTTATTCTCTTCCTCCGTCTTTTAAACTCACTCCAGTCAGACTCCCCGCCCCATGACTCCACTTAGGCACTTTATATCAGTGACCTCGAGATAGCCAATTCCAGTGGCCAGTTCCGATTCTTCAGATAATTTCAGGCTATTGCCACATGTGACGATGGAATTGATCACTCCTTCCTTGGAACGTGTCTCCTGTGGTCCCCGGAAGCCATTTTTCATTGTTTTCCCCCCTGGCTTCTCTCAGTCTCCTTTGCTGGCTGCTCCTCGTCTTCAGCTCCTGTGACACCTCTTATTTACCTACATTTGTTCCCTGGTGTCCTATCTGGTCCTCACCGAGGTGGATCTCCAGCCCAGAGGCCGCCTTGAACTCCAGAATCTTGCATCTGACTGCCTCCATAGCGCCTTTAAAATCCAACAGGCATTTATTTGGGTTTTCTCTGCTCAATCTTCTTTCCCTTCTCATTGAATGACAGCCCTTCTTTTCTGATTGTTGAACCTGGAGCCCTTCTAGACTTCTGTCTTCTGAACACCCCTCATCCGATCCATGAGAAAAATCTGCTGGGTGACCTTTGAAGCATCTTCAGAACATGACTTCTCCCTGCAACCTCTGCTGCCCTGACCTGGTTTGAGCACTTGATCATCTGCTCATGCCTGGATTATTGCAGGAGCCTCCTTGCTGCGCTCCCTGACCCTCCCCTGACCACTCCACGCACCGTGCCCATCTAGCACAGTTAAACCAGGGTCCTGACGGTGGCCTGAAAGGCCCTGCGGGACCCACAGACTCCACTGCCGTTCATCTCTTGTTTTAGTGAGCTTTTTAGCTTCTGGGACTAAAGAACCCAAGCAGCACAATCATAGAGGAGGAAATGTGTATCTGAAGGCTCACGGTTTCAGAGTTCTTAGTCCATAGAAGGCCAGCCCCATTCCTCGGGGCTCAAGGTGAGGCTGAGCATCCTGGTGGAAGAGAGTGGCAGAGGGAAGCAGCTCACATCATGGGGACCAGGAGGCAGAGTGACAGAAGTCTTCATTCCCAAGATAACAAAATATATACCCAGTAGTTGGGCCTCAATTCCCACCTCCTCCAGCCACACCCTACCACTTCAGTTACCACGCTGTTAATCCCCATCGGGATGAATTCACTGATTGGGTCAAGATTCGTAAAACTCGATCATTTCTCCTCTGAACCTTCTTGTACTGTCTCACATGTGAGCTTTTGGGGGGCACCTCACATCCAAACCATAACACCCCCTAAGCCCATTTCCTCCCACTCTGCTGCTCACACACTCCTCTCCAGCCTCACTGGCTTCCTTTCTGTTCCCTGAACACACCCTAAGGATTTTTCCTTTGGTAGGCCCAGAATTTCTGCCTGTCTTGCTCCCTTTCTTCCTCCAGGTTTGAGAGGTGACCTCATGACCTTCCCTGACCATTTTGTTTAAAACTGCAACCCACTCCCCCTCCAAACCTGGTAGTTTCTATCTTCCTTACACTGTTTCTCTGATCTAGTGTTTACGTTTGCTTCTTTCTGTGTTTCCTGAGGTATAAGAACTCTGGTTCACTGCTGTCTCCCTAGCATGTAGCATAGTGACCAGAACAGAGTAAATACCCCCAAATAACTATATGAATTAATTCCATGTATAGGTTATTAAATGGGTTATAGTTTTCCAAGTTTGATGTCTAGGATTTCCTGTGGCCCTCGTAGGAGTCTAGTGAGTGAGTGAGGCAGTGTTGTAGGTGAGGAGGTTGAGGCCCCCGATTCCCTAAGGACACGTGGCTGTCCTTAATGAGCTACCTGGCATTTGTAGTTCTGATCCCAGTTTCTGATCCCTGCAATCAACTATCCCCTGATGTTTTAGGTTATATATTTTTTTAAATTTTTATTGCTGGTTGTTCAAAACATTACATAGTTCTTGATATATCATATTTCACATTTTGATTCAAGTGGGTTGTGAACTCCCATTTTTACCCCGTATACAGATTGCAGAGTCACATCGGTTACACATCCAATGATTTACCTATTGCCATACTAGTGTCTGTTGTATTCTGCTGCCTTTCCTATCCTCTACTATTCCCCCTCTCCTCCCCTCCCCTCTTTTCTCTCTACCCCCTGTACTGTAATTCATTTCTCCCCCTTGTATTATTTTTCCCTTTCCCCTCACTTCCTCTTGTATGTAATTTTGCATAACCCTGAGAGTCTCCTTCCATTTCCATGCAATTTCCCTTCTGTCTCCCTTTCCCTCCCACCTCTCATCCCTGTTTAATGTTAATCATCTTCTCATGCTCTTCCTCCCTACTCTGTTCTTAGTTACTCTCCTTATATCAAAGAAGACATTTGGCATTTCTTTTTTGGGGATTGGCTAGCTTCATGTAAGCTCCAGAGTACTAATTGCTGTTTGTTTTCCATTGTAGTATTGACGAGAAAACCCCATATCTGGCTTTGGGAGCTGTAAAGAATATCTCCCTAAACATCTCCATCTCCAACCTCGGGGACGATGCCTATGATGCCAACGTGTCCTTCAATGTGTCCCGGGAGCTCTTCTTCATCAACATGTGGCAGAAGGTAAGGGGGCCACCCCCAAAAGAAAGTCGGTGCACTCGCTGACTTTCTTCATAGCTTGGACTACACAATGATTCTACAAGGACCATTCGTTCACAAAGAACGTTATTTGGAATTATTAGAATTTTTTCTTCATCCCGACGTTAGAGAATTTGTTGGTATAACTGAAGAAGAAGCTGTAAATACCTTGGAGAAGTGTCTGTATCTTATGTTGTCTCCCATCCCTTTTCTCTTGAGGACACTTCCTATATGACTAATCTCTGCCCCTTCTCTGAGATGCTATAGTCACCGTTGCCAGTACATGCATGTTCTAAAAATTTCAAGTTTAAAGCAATATTGCTGTGAAACATAAGAAATAAGGACAGATCACTGCTGACCGTGCTTGTTATCACCAGTACTGTTCCTGATGTTTTTCTATTCGTCATTTCTATCAGCGTGTACTTTGACATCTTTATTTTTCCTGCGGTATTTGAGGATATTGAGGGAATGAACTTGTGTCCATGAGTTAGGTGAGGGTTTATAGAGTGGGTTAATTTATTTGAATGAATTGAAATATATGCAGTGTGACTCCAGGAAAAAAAAAAAAAAAGAGTGGATACTTCTTCTCTCCCAGGGAACCCTTCAAGGCACTGTCTTTATAGAGGAAAAGGGACAGGCTCCTCAGCAGGAGCAGGGAGTGACCCAGGCTGACCACTCTGTCCAGTTGCTCTGTTCACAGCTGTTCAAATGGGAATTTTTGCAGCTTTTCAAAGAATGTACAGCATTGAACTGGGCTGCTCTGGGTTCTGTGTTAAAATGGAACCCAAATCGCTTTCTGAGGAAAACCTCCTAGCTCCTGAGCGAGCCCATTTGTGTCCATCGGTGCAGCCTTCTGTTCAGGCACCTACCCTGCCAGGCTCAACGGTTTTGACGGGACTGTGCCAAACTTACTCGGCCTAGAGGGCAAGTGAAGCTCCCGGAGCCACCCATAATGGAGGTACTCCAAGAACTTTCCAAGAAGTCACCTCAAATCCCTGCTGCTTAATAGCTCTCAGCAGCTTCTGGATTAGAGGAGGCCAAAAAAGCCATCAAGGACTGTGGGAAGGGCATGGAATCCATCCACCGTCTCCACCCTAAACATTATCCTGAGTTAAACCCAGTCAAGAGAGAACCAAGTAAGCTGTCGGTTCCAGCATCTCTGACCACTCCTAATTGCAAGTACCCTGATGATGCCATCTCCCTGTGTGGGGTGGGAGGACAGCTGAGGGGGAGGGGTTTACTCAGGGACCAGACCTGTGAAGCTCGTCTCTGGTGACTGGGTCATTAAATTACATGGTTTCCTCTCACTCGGGACCTATGGGAGAAATTTCTCTTCTTTCTCAGGCTTAGAGAGAGCTATGCCTTTCTTGGGCATTGTGTTTGTCTTTACCTCTGAAAACAGTTTTGTGAATTATCAGGTTCCATTCGCTCTTACCTGTTGCTAGAAAATTCAGAGCTGGCTTCTGCCAATATGTAGGACTTGGAGTATTATTTTATGAATTAAGTAACCACTTGACTCTTGATTTGCTTCCTTCCCTTCACTGTGTTTTCCTCTTTGGCTTGGAGACTGAATAATATTCTATCATATAGATATACTAAGCATCACCTACAAATTTCTCTTATTGCATAGATTGATTATTTCCAGTTTTTTATTAGCTTGCAGACTGCATAATATTTTACCAAATGGATATATCTACAAATTCCTCTGACTAGGTATTTAAATGATTTCTAGTTTTTTTTTTATTCTTTTTTTTTTGGTACTAGGGATTGAACTTGGGGACACTGGAGTACTGAGCCACATCCCCAGCCCTATTTTGTATTTTATTTAGATACGGGGTCTCACTGAGTTTCTTAGCACCTCGAAGTTGCTGAGTCTGGCTTTGAACTTGTGATTCTCCTATCTCAGCCTCCTGAGCTGCTGGGATTTCAGGTGTGCACCACTGCACCCAGCCAGTTTTTTATTCTTTTAAAAAATAATATTGCAACAAACATCTTTTACAGATAGTAGTATTAACAAATGATCATATCCTTAGTTGGGGGGGGGAGCTCATGAGCATTAATGAGCACCTGCAATGCCCAGGGACTTCACAAACATTTCTCCATTCCTTCTTCCCTGCAAGAGATGCAGTGCATGTGATTTATTGAAGGCTTGCTCTCCGGAGAAGAGCAGTGAGAGAAGCAAGATAGGAAAGGGAAGGCTGTGCAGGAGTGTGCTATCAGGTCACACCTAGCCTTGATCTGTTCTATGTGGTGGAGAGAAGAGGGCGAACATCAAAGAGAATAAGTCATTCAGCAGACTTATCCCCCTTTGAAGTTGCAGGGGACAGCACCATTTTCTACCTCTGTATCATTATGGGCACAGGGCATGGGGGATGGTTTGTAGCCTCCCAGGCATTCTGGACAAAGAGGCTCTGGTCAGTCAAGGACAATATATCTCAGAAGGCCATAGGAATGAGTCCTCACCTCTGTAGCTGGCCCTGGGAAAATGGGAACACCTCATTTTGATCTCTTTGCCATTGAATTCCAGCATCCTGTAAAATCTTTAGCACAGGAAACCTTAGGTTTCAGTGTGGCAGAAAGTTGACAAGGTGTCGGGGGCCCTTCGGGATGTGGTAAGGGTTAGTGTGAGAGTCGGGCAGGCCACAGAGACATCATGTGGCTGTAGGAAAAGAAACAAAAATTCTCCTTCCCATGACAACTACTATTGTGAAATAGGAAATAAGTGACCTCACAGTGCTCGGGGTAAGATTCTAAGAACACATGCATCCGTGGATAATGAAGGGAGCCAAGAGAGCTCATCCCACCTATGTAACAATGCATAGACCTAATTGAAGCAGCATATCCCTCCACAAAGATCCTAATGCACAAACCAAGAAAAGCATAACTCAGGAGACAGAGGGAAGGTATAACTATTAAGATTATTAATAGGGAACTAAAGTCCAACTTCCAGAACATCCACTTGTGTCCTTGAGGAAATTCAAGAAGAAATGAGGACAGTGAAGGATCAGATAGTTGAACTGTAGAATGGATGGACATGATATGACTGAGAGTCAACTAAAAATAAAGCTTGTGGCTGGGGTAAGGAACTGTTCTAATGGGACCAAGAAAGCAATGGCAGAATCAGTGTTTTGTGATAATGAGGAAAGAGCAGAAGCATCGGAAACTTATTCATGATTGTAGAGATTCTGTGAGAATATGGAGAAGAACAAACCAAGGAAGAAAGCTGACAGTGTGGAGTCGGTAATGTGGAAGATGGAAGCTGGGGGGGAGAGGGGTCAGCAAAAATGGTTCCAGGAAAATTGGAAGAGAAGACGACTAGTAGACATCATTCCTTAGACATGGAAGCAGCATCTCCATTGTCTTCAATGGGTGCTGCAAACACCAGACAGATATTAAAAACATTTTGCTGTCTAAACATAGCTTCATGCAATTTTCAATTTTCACATGAAAATGATACTACAAATACTTAATCGAAAACAAGTTTTCTAGAAACTTTTCCATAACATTAGTGTCAAACATTAAAACAGCATATCCTATTGCAGAGACATCATGTGGCTGTAAGAGTCAGGACCAACCAGAAAAGCAGATAGGAAGATGATCCTCCAAATCCCGAGAGCAATCCAAAATTGTAAAACCTAGCTAACTTGCCCTCCTTTGTGACATCCAAATAGAGATTCTTAGTTACGTGAGGATTCGTATTCTCTTGGCTCCCCTAGTTTGGATTTCCCTCAAAGCGCATACTGATACAATGATGTAGGTGCAGGTGGTTTATTTGGGAGTGACCTCAGGAGCTGCTGTGTGGGAGTGGAGAACTTAGACAAAGGAGAGAGAGAACACAGAAAACCATGCATTCATGATCCCAGTGAGCAACTTGGCTTCATCTTCTGCAGATCCTCTGAGAACCTGGGTATAACACACCCCAGAATCGTTCCCCTCAGAGGTGACAAGGCTGCTAGAGGAGTATCCCTCGTGTCACTCCTCATGGAGGATGGTTCCAGGACTTTAAGTCTCGGAAATGTCCAGCCTCCCCTAACTATGGCCCATATTCCCAGGGTCAGGAAGCAACTGAGACAGAAAGATGTAGGAAACTTTAGACCTGGAGGGTACTGACTTCAGGAGGCCGGTGCCCTGGTTGGTTCTAGGGACTGCATGAGAGCAAGGTACTTGTAGTATCTACTGCAGTCACCACAAAACTTCCTGAAAAATAGTTACGGACAGGTGAACCACTCAGGAATATGAAAGTTGTTGAATAAAAAGTGTGGTAAAGACACAGAATGAAACAAAAATAATTTTACAAATGTTCAAGGTAGTAAACAAATGCCGGGGGGGGGGAATTTGGGGAATTCTATAATATATAATTTAAAAGAGTCATTTTTTTAAAAGGGCTCTGATCTCATTGATCTAATACAGATTTGATAATTTGTCTCTGGTCCTGCTTCACATTCTTCAGGGTGGGGATCAGATTCCTCAGCTGTTTCTGTGAGGCTACATCCTCTGTTACCTGGGCCTTCCCAGCTTCCTTCCTACTCAGACTCATTGCTCACTATGTCCCCTTGGATGTCCACACAAAATCATTCCTCATTTATTACTGAAGCTGCTTTTACCCAAGTTCCCCCATGCCCCTGTTTTTGTTTAATGAACTATCTTTCACTGAAATCTCAACTTAGGCGTTACCTATGTAAGTTCTGTTACCTATGTGGGTTCCTGGCCTGGCTGCATGGGACCCGTCCCCTAACAGGTGGGTGAATAGAGGGGTATTGCTCTTGTCCAAAGTCACAGAGGAACTCAGAGCGCAGGTCTTCAAGGTCTCCAGTCTTCTCTGTCACTGCAGTTGATAAATGACATATTAGCTTCCGAGAGTAAACAACAACACCCAAAACAACTTGTATCAGTCAGGTTTCCATTGCTGTGACAAAACATCTAAGAAAAATCAACTTGGAAGAGGAAAGGTTTATTTTGGTTTCAGCCCATAGTTGGTTGGTGCCATCGTTTGGGGGGGGGGGGCCTGTGGCGAGGCAGCACATCATGGTGGGAGCATGTGTGGAGCAAAGCTGCTCACCTCATGGAGGCTAAGCAGCAGACAGAGACCAGCATTCCAATACCCACCCCAAGGATACACTGCCAATCACCTAACTTCCTTCCAATAACACTAATTCCCAAAGATTCACCAGCTTCCAGTAACACCCCAGGCTGGATGGAGACCAAGCATTTAATCCTTTGGAGGTCACTCTAGATCCAAACTATAACACCCCCTGGAATTGGTTTTTCTGTGCTCTTCTAATGCAAGGCTGCTCTCATAGATTTATTCTGGGTTATTTTTTCCTTTAAGGGGAGGCTGTTTATACATATATGGGGATTACATGGTTGGCCACCTGCTGACTTTTTCTCACCTAAGTAAAGCTAACTTGAAATCACACTGCTCATTTGGTTAATTTATTGGTGGCTGCCCCACCAGAGCTCAGGGTGGAATTAACAGCAACTGGGGTTCTGCAGGGAGCAGCCCCCAGTGTACTGTGTTCCCTGCCAGACAAGAAACAGGGGTGGGATTATTTCCGGGGTCCCCTGTGGGAGCAGTGAGAGGGAGCTCCTGGGGTGGATGAAGGGTGTCCAGTTAAAAAGGAGACCAAGGAAATGAATAGATGACCACCACATTGCACGGCTCTGGGGTCGCTGTTCTCATTGGATTTTGTGAGCAACATCCCCAGAACCCAACTCCGCTGATACGATGTGTGTGGTGCCCTTGAAGCTATTCTGCTCTGTGACCCTTTAGTCAAGATAAAGTCATATTTTTGTTCTTGCTGTGGTGCTGCTTCACACCTAGGGCCTTGGCTCTTCTCTGAAACAGCAATGTCTTTGGACAACGTTTATTGTGTATCTGCAAGTCACCAGGAACTACACCAGCACTGGGAGTCAAAATCGTGCAAGAGATCTAGTCCCCGCTCCCAAGGGTCACAGTCTGATGGGGCCAAGGCATGTCAGCAAGTCATTAAAGTACGAGGTGCCAACTGTCCTACTGAGGCACTGAAAGGTTGATTGGAAAGCCCCGATGTGACAAGGTGAAATCAGCCATTTCTATGAATAGCCCCATGTTGGGCAAATCCTTGGATACATGCTTCGGGGAGATGAATGAGCTTCAGAAAGAGCTGCGGTGAGCAGGGCTGATGGTGAGGAACTGGCACCGATTGGGCCCACTTATTTAGCTAATGAAGGAGGGGACTGGGCTGGATCAGGAGTGAGAGGACAGAGGAGGAGGGGCAGCCCGGTAGAAGAGGCTGCCCCATGGACCAAGGGCCAGTAACATTCCTGGCAGCAGGTGACATCAGAACATTTTAGGAATAATGATGCCTGCAGTTCTAGGCTTGGCAGTTAGGACTCCTGCCTTCAGGCAACTATAAGGGGTTGACGGGGGAGAGGGACTGAGTATGTGTCACTTGGCTTTCTGCCACTGTGACAAAATACCTGAGATAACTTAAAAGAAGGAAAGATATACTTTTTTAAACAATTTCAGAGGTTTTAGTTCATGGGCACTTGGTTCCCTTGTTTTGGGGCCTGTGATGAATCAGTGCATTGCGGTAGGGAGTGTGTGGTGGAGCCAAACTGCTTAGTTAATGGTGGCCAGAAAGCAGAGAGAAAGGAAGTGTCTGGGGACAAAATATACCATTCAAGGGCACAACTCCCAGGGACCTACTGCTTTAGTCAACTGTTCGTCACTATGACCAAAAGACCTAAGGACAATTAGAGGAGGAAAAGTTTATTTTGGCTCATGGTTTTGGAGGTTCAGTTCATAGCCTGTGGCCTCCGTAGCTCTGGACCCTGGGTGAGGCAGAACATCATGGCGAAAGGAGAAAAGCAGCTCAGGACATGGTAACCAGGAAGGAAGGGGAGAGAGTACTTTATTTAACAGGGACTTAATATAATCCCCAAAGGCACATCCCACCTGCCTACCACCTGCCTAATCCACTGATAAATTACGACTCTCATAATCTAATCATTTCACCTTGAAAACTTCTTGCATTGTCTCAAACGTGAGCTTTCAGAAGCCCCCTTGTATCTAAACCATAATACCTACTTCCTCCAATGAGGCCCCATCTCCTAAAGTTTCTACTACCTCTCTATAACCCCTTGAGCTATGAATTCATAAATGCATTAATCTACTCATGAGGTCAGAGCTCTCATCCAATTACCTCCTAAAGGGCCCAATCTCTGAACATGGCTGCGTTGGGAACCAAGCCTCCAACACATGGGACATTGAAGCTCCAAACCATAAACTATATAAAAAGGGGCTAGGCTTAGGCACACACTTCCATGGTTTAACCCAATCCATGATCCACAAGGGAACAAACCTGGACTTGAATGTACAAGTTTCAAGCCAAGTGCAAGAGGTCTCCTAGCAGAGTTTGGGTAACCCCAAGGGGATACAGCCATTTGCTAAAGAGTTACCAAGGAGGCTGTGCCCAAAGAGAAGGATCAGCCTCCTGGACCTGGCTCTTCCACACAGGGTGAGGTGCTGACCTGGAGGCAAGGAACTGAAAACAGTTGGTTTATTTGGGAGATGCAGAAAACAAGGTGGGGAGTGGGAGGAAAGGTGATAACAGTCAAGAGAAGGCAGTGAATCAGAAGTGAGCTGTTAGCCAGCTTCCCCAG